TCTCACACACACACGATGCGCAAAACTCTGCATTTGAACAGTCAATAGCAAATACTTAAACTAGTAACAAAACATACTTACAGTCGCTGATTCAGAAGCGCCAGATTGTCATAGCAAAGTCAGAATTACCTCCTCTCCTAGGTTCATGAAACGGTCGTCCATAAAATGCATTGCTGTTCTGTTGTAAGTGATCTTAAAGATTCCTAAATGCATCTACTTCCGGAAGGCCAAATAAAATGCTTTTGCTTTCGCCTAGAAACACACAGCGTCTCCCTGACATGGCTGCATCAACACTAACTGCGGTTACTGAAACCACACCTTCTTTCTTTGCGTGCACATTTGGGCGCATTATGCAAATATTCCCACATAGTGACCTAGATATGTGGGGGCGTGTTAGAACGAGCCGTTTTAGGGGGGTGTGTCAGAGTCTTAACTTTGATAAAGAATATCTCTGGTTTTGAGACTTTAGTCTTTGCAACTTCAGGGATCTTATCTATTCACGAACAGCTTGTAACACTCCAAAGAGAAAGGAAAACTTGAAATCGCATCATATGACCCCTTTAAATCATTTTTATTTTTTATTTTTATTTAAATATTTGTATTTATTTATTTTAACCACAATCTCATGTCATATTATGTCACTCTAACATGGTAAAATAAAGTAATAAGAATGTGACATCCCTTCAATAAATTAACTATTCAGAGAAAAAAATCTTGACCAATGGCGCATCAAGCAAGACAAGCAGAGAGGGAACAAATTGTCAAAAACAAAAAGTGGATCCCATTGCAAAAAAACAGAAAAATCCACATTCAGGCACTCACATAGCAAGCAAAGTAAAAAGCCTTTAATTATAAGACAAAAAACACATTAAAATATTATATTATATTATATTAAAAAACACAAACGCGTATCAGCCCAAGCCCAAGAAAAATCCACATCCAGGCACTCACATAGCAAGCAAAGTAAAAAGCCTTATCAACACCCTGATGAAGGCCTGCTTGGGCTGATACGCTTTGGTGTTTTTTAATATGTAACCCTGCCTTATAATTAAAGGTTTTTACTTTGCTATGTGAGTGCCTAAATGTGGATTTTTCTGTTTTTTGCAATGGGATCCACTTTTTGTTTTTGACGAATTAACTATTCAGTTCAGTTTTCAGACACTGTAGCTTTAATGAAAGTTTTGTCAAAATCCTGAATTTAATTTTTTTATTGTTTTATATTTTTATTTTAAATTATTTTATTTTTATAGTTTTACTTTTTTTTTCCTTTTGTTTTTTTTAAACCACATTCAATCGTTTTGTCTCTCTAAAAAAAAATATTTTTCAGACACTATAAGTTTAATTAAGCTAAAAGTGTTTAATTTGGTTGTCAAAATCTTTAATTTTGATTTGTATTTTTAATTTATTTAAATCTTAATTTTAAATATGTATTTTTTTTTATTCAATATTTTCTTTTATAAAATTTTCTTCTTTTAAATTATTTATTTTTAACCCCAATCACTCCAACATGATAAACTAAAAAATTAGAAATCCCGCACACCAATTGAACTTGCTTAGTAAATAACTTTAATATGCAACAGGAACGTCTGTTGACTAAAATGTTTCATATTTAAGTTATTTTGTTACTAAGCAAAGTGGAGTGGTGTGCAGGATTTCTCATTTTTTGGTTTATTTTGAATGTTCGTTTGATGAACATGCTTCAGATTTGGGTGTGCGAGATACTATATGTTTAAAAGAGATATATAGTACCTTCATGATAAAAAAAATTAATTAGAGTGTGACATCCCATCAATAAATTAGTTGTTCATTTCTGTTTTCAGTCACTATGTGGATTTAATAAAAATGTGGTTGTCCGTACCTGAATTTTGAGTCATAGCGGTAGTAGCTGCAGTGTGGCCAATGAGACATTAATATATTCTGTCTGTGAGCACACTGCAGTCAGTGTTCTGTACCCAGAAATGCATAATTCAAATCACACACACCGCCACACATCACCGAGCTTCATCAACAACATTCTCTACTTCACTGAAAAACACCAGAAAGTTAGCAGCAGTTCAACTCACTGTTTTTTATGAAAAGATGAAGAGATGCCAGAAGTGGGAAGACTTATAACTTTTTCTTTCCAAATCGTTCTCTCTCTCAGCACTTACGCTCCAGTGAAGCAGTTTCTGCGTGTGGATAAAGACAAGGTAATATATGCCTCTCACAGATTTATATTCTCTGAATTAAGACACTCTTTAGCCCCTGAACAATAGAACACTATCAATCTCCCATTCAGGCTCTGTTTTCTCTGTGCTGCTATAAATCTGCATACGTATCAAATAATGTCCTGTAGGTTCAGATCTTCAACCCAGCTTTCTTTAAATACATCCATGACCGCTGGACACGTCATCATGGCCGCTATCCCTCCACTGGCATGCTTGTGCTGTTCTTCGCTCTACACGTATGTGACGAGGTAAGACTTTAGGGAATATAATATAATAGGGTATATAATAATGCATACAATTCATACATGATGTTTGTAAATTGATGTCCCAAAATTTTGTTTTCTTGAAATGTGCTATCGTATCATACTGAAATTTAGAATATTATATAATATAGCAGTGTAATGTATTTTAAAAAAGTCATCTAATTCTGTGATGGCAGTGGCACAGCTGAATTTTCAGCAGTTATTACTTCGGTCTTCAGTGTTATATGATCCTTCAGAAATCATTCTAATATGCTGATTTGGTGCTCAAGAAACGTTGCTTATCAAAGTTCAAAACAGTTCTGCTGCTTAATATTTTTGGTGGAAACTGTGATACATTTTTCTTCACAATTATTTGACGGATAGAAAGTTCAAACGAACAGCTATTTGAAATAAAAATCTTTAGTAACAATGTAGAAGTCTTTACTCTCACTTCCGATCAATTTAATGTGTCCTTGCTAAATAAAAGTATTAATTAAAAAAAAAAAACTTACTGACCCTAATCTTTTGAGCTTTAGTGTGAACTACTTACATTTATATTATAAATAATATATAAAGAATGTGTGTATAGCTTTTGTTTATGTTTTAGCTTTTTATATGTACAAAAATTAAGAAATAAATAATTTTAAATGTTACATTTGATTTACATTTCAAAGCTCTGATATTGACACTGAATTCGTTTCTGTGTCATAGGTGAATGTATTTGGTTTTGGGGCGGACAGCAGGGGAAACTGGCACCACTATTGGGAGCAGAACCGCTATTCTGGAGAGTTTCGTAAAACAGGTGTCCATGATGCAGACTATGAGGCCCAGATCATTGACAAGCTGACCAAGGCTGGCAAGATCTCAGTCTTTCCTGGAAAGTGAATCTGGGCACCAGGTGCAAAAGAAATGGATCAACTGATGGACTACCATAAACAAAACCACCCATTATCCACTTGACACACATAGTGTGCCTGTTAAACGTGATCAAGAAGTAATTTTTCATGATCTTATTACTAGTCTATGCTGTCCTGAATGGACAGGATTCTGGGCAGCATCCCCATGATGTGGTGGTTTTGAGAGGAGACACTAGTACTAAATGTACTAATGTGCTTTTCCTTGCAAGCCTACCTCAACTAGGATAAGGAACTTGACTTGGCAAGGAACACTAATATCTCAACACTAATCAGCATGTTAGATATATGTGCTGGGAATGGATTTGGCTTATATTTATGACTTTTGTTGAATAGTGATGATGTGGGAACTCTTATCTCGTGCCGAGGCCCCGTAGATGAGTGAGACCAACAATTACCATAGTGTATCCTAATACTAGTAGTTCTCTGTGATTCATTAAAGATAGTTGACCCAAAAAATGAAAATTGTCGTAATTTATTCACCCTCATCTAGTTCCAAACCTGTATGATTTACTTTCTTCTGCAAAGCACAAAAGATATTTTGAAGAATGTTGGAACTGTCCATGTCAATGAGGTCAATAGGGTCCAAAGTTGTCTTGCACTGTTGTCTTCACAGAAGGAGAAGTCATACAGGTGTGGAATTGAATTAAAAGCTTGGACATAGTGGCGGGTCGTTTCACTAGCGTTATAGCGCAGCAGTTAGGCTCCTCACATCAAGTGGAAGTTACGTTCTTGCTGTTAAACCAAGCTTTGTTTTGTCTTGATATTAGTTTCGTTGTTCGTGTTTGAAATTATCACGTTAACAGTTTGCGATCACTGTGTGCTCACAGCAGTATGAACAACTTTGTCTTTTTGGTTTGTTCGTTTTTGCTAATTACGTTTGAGTACTGATCGTTCCTCTGGTCTGAGGAGGATGGGCCAATACTCGACACCAGGAGCTGAAACCACTGACGCACTCCAATATGAACACATGTGAGCAATATATTAAGTACATGAGGAGTACGTTTAGAAACCAACGCTAATAATGGTGTGGTGATTGTTCTAGAGATGCATTGTGAACAGTGGTAGAGCTTCATTGTTGATCTTCAGCACACTACTCTTAAATGTAACGTAATAGTGTTATATAATGGAAAACGACAGAAAAAAGCATTAGATTGTGAGAAACCGAATATAAGCTTTCATTTATGAAGCCTGATGTATTGTGATACAATTTATGACTAGATGACAGACAGATCTTGAAGTTATGGTGGAATTCATTGATGAGCGTTTTCTTAAAGGCATAGACACTCCTTTGCTGCTGTTCAGTCATTTACCATTAACAATAGGTGATTTTTTTTTTTTTATTGTAAAATTTGTGTAGTTTTCCTTGTATAATTTATTACATTATAAATGTTGAAGACCATACAAAGGATAAGCAGAAAGATCCGCTTGACTGACAAGTGCTTTCTACAGAGCCGCTAAAGGGACATAGTGATGGGGGAAATATACAGATGGGAGTAAAATTATATTTCAATGCGTTCTCTTGTAAAAAAAATTAATTCCCACCTGAGAAACTTTGTGTTATTTTGAAAATATTTGCGTTCCCCAGAGAAACTTTGGGTTAACTTGCAAAATGCATTACCCAGAGAAACTTCGCTTTACTTTGCAAATTATTTGCGCTTCCCGAAGAAACTTTGTATTAGCTTGCAAACTTATGAGTTGTTTGTATGTGAACTCTCTAAGAAGAGAGCGAAGCGAACAAAATTTTTGTTAGGAAATGCAAAGTTTCTCTGGGAAAGCTAAATATTTTGCAAGAGAACACAAAGTTTCTCTGTGGAATGCAAATTATATTTCAATACTTTTGCGTTCTCGTAAATATTTTGTGTTTTCCCCGAGAAACTTTGTGATTGCTTGCAAAATCTTTGCCTTCCCCCCAAGAAACTTTGTGTTAGCTTACAAACCTTTTGAGTTGTTTGTGTGCGAACACAAAGTTTCTCTGGAAAACGTGAAGGTTTTATGAGCGAACATAAGTTTTGTGATGGAATGCGTTTCTCTGGGAAGAGCAAAATTATGCAATCTAACGTAAAGTTTCTCTGGGAACAGAACTTTCAACGCTTTTGTGTTCTCTTCCAAAACGTTTGTGTTCCCTCAAGAAACTTTGCGTTAGCTTGCCAAATGTTTGCGTTCTCCCAAGAAATTTTGCGTTTGCTCACAAAACTTTTGAGTTGTTTGCATCCAAACTCAAAGTTCCTCAGAGGAATGCAACGGTTTTACAAACAACTCAAATGTTTTGCGAGCAAAACCAAGTTTCTTGGGAGAACACAAACATTTTGCTAGCTAACGCAAAGTTTCTCTGGGAACACAAATTAGCCTATATTTCAATGCTTTTGAGTTCTTTTGCATTCTCTCATAAAATGAAATAGCCTACTGAACTGAAATATATTCTTTCAATCTCATATTTTTTCCATCACCATGTCCCTTTAGCAAGTCCGGAGCTTTCTGCTTCAGCCTAGTCTAGTTTCATGTGCAATAGTTATTTTTCAAATTGTAGACATATCAGCTATTTCAGTGTGTAAACGCACACACGTTACATGCTTGTGTGCCTTGTCCTCGCTTCTGGACACGTCCTCTCTCCAGAGCACAGCTAACCTCATTAAAAGACGCATAAATACATGCTATTTTTCCTTTAGTCTTCTTACAGAGCATTTATTGACACACATTCACGCTCACACAAATCTGGCCTCTAAAATAGGGCATGGATCGTCTACCCACCAGCTGTCCTCCACCCACACATGATTCACGGCTTCTCCTGCTCCGCCACTTCATCCTCTTGTCTGTTCTACTTTGAGCTAAGCTGAGCGCCGTGCCTTCGGGATCAGGGTGGGAAAAGCTCTCTCACCTGAAAACCTTCTCCCCTCTTGATTTTAAGAGCTACCTACCTGCATTCACTGTCACTTCGTTTAAAAGTCTCTCGAATCCTTAGAAAATGTGGCACACAAAGTGCTTTTATACATTGTCAATAAATGTCTTTTGACGGTTATATAGCCTACCGGGTGAATATTAAATGCACAGTGCTGCAGTGGCTTTATTATATTTAAGCTTATTCTGAGGGATTATTATTGGGCGTTTCACAGTGAAATTCTAATATCACGGATTTGTAGGATGGCTGCCCTCTCAGAATATTGAGATGCGCAGTTGGTCGCCAAAGAGTTTTATTCCATTACTAATCCTCTTGTTTTTGTTGTTAGATGTTTATGTATTGTTCAGAAAATATGGATTAAGGAAAATAAGTTGGCTCGTGATGTTCTTGTATTAGCCTCTTAACAGTATCCATTAATCCTAGATGGTACTAGTTGGCCAGGAGGGACGTTTCTCTTGTTTTTGTGCCACAGGAGGATTGTAGCCTGCTGAGTGATATTCAGGCAAACATACTCAAACAATTTATGAAAGACTACATTATGTCCACCTTCTCCGTTCTCTCCATTTGAAATGTTCTGTGGCCAAATTGCATGACGAGATCAATTCCAAATTGGCTTGTTTTCTTTATGCTGCTCTTGCCAACATTCTCAGCACTAAATTATCGGTCTTTGTGGATCCTTATGGTCACATTGAGAGAGCTTTTTCTAGGACTTTGTATCATCTTTTGCTGAATTGTTTGTAGGATTATAGGATGCAAAGCTGAAAGCTGTAAAGTACTGAGTGAGATGAATATTCCTGTTAAGACTGAACTGCTTGATTTTTGTTCTTTGCTGCTTTTTCCACGATCATACACATGATTGTGCCTCCAGGATAGATATGTTGATTGAATGATGCAATTTCATTTTGTTTTCTTGACCTTTTTGAAAGGCTTTATGGTAGATTCCCCTATTCCATTTGAAGAAATAATTAATAAAACAATAAAATGGCAGCAAAAAACCTGACATGAAGTTAAAAATGAGGCTACAGTATTTAGACTCCACTTTCAACTTAATGTTGAATCCTGTTCTTCATGAAGGAACACTTCAGCACAGACTGTACATATACTAACTGTGCCACTGTGTTTGCTCTCATTAACTTCTCATTAGTGTTGATATAGTGACTCTTGGTCAGTGCGCTTTCTTTCCTTTCACAACCTCAGTCTTTGTGTAATTATGGACAGTTTTTATGCTATCTTTATGCTACAGCAAGAAATAAACATGTTTAAAAATGGTTTGTCTCATTGTGTCCAAGAACGTTATACAAGTAAACAATTTTGCTCCTTGTCAGAGCTGCTTTATTTGATGCAGTACATTTTCATTAGAACTTCAGTATTGAACTCATGATTTTATGGAAATAAAATGTCATCAATTTTTACTACTATGGTTTACATGCTTTGCAGCTTCTAACGTGGAAAATCTGGCATTCAAAAACATCCCAAGTTTCATTTTATTCTGGTAAAAAGTTTTCTTGATGCTATCACTTTCCATCCCGTTTTCTTATGTAACAACGCTTAAACATAAACATCAGTAATTAACAATGGATTTGTTGAATTCCGTGATGTTTTGTGACATGTTTAAAACTTTACACCCTGATAATCATAATTTTAAGTTAACTAAACTTCAAGTTAACACCCCTTTATAAGCTAACCCTGAATCCCTCTCTAAGCAATGACTCACTTTAGCTTTCATGCTTTTTGTCCTCTTGCCATTGTGTAGTTATATAATAATGTGTTTGAGCTTGACTGGAGCATTTGTCTGAAAGTCTGGCACACCCATTTATAGAAATTACAGGCCTATTGTTTTAAATGAAAGTGATATAAAGAGTTCAGAATGTATCATATAAAAATAATTTTATAATGATGTTGATTCAAAATACGTTCAAATGGTTGAGCACCTGTAACCAAGAATGTAATAGTAGTACTATGACAGTTAAGGATCTCTAACCTGAATTTGATGATTCATGTAGTTAGAGTTGACAAAAATCGCCAGATAGTGTATTCCGTTAACAATCAGACGCATATACACGACTCCACAGAACAACGAAAAATCATTTATGCATTTGAAACAATTTTTTATTACCATTAACAAATGAAACATTTCATGTGACAGGTGATTAATGGCTTGTTTTCCCAAAACAGATGCTAGAGCTAGTGAAAGGTTAACAGTGTTGACATGATTTTTCCTGAACCATTATATGACATTCCTCCTGTTAAAGAGACAGACCAACAATTCTACAAATGTAATGGAAAATCTTACGATAAAAAGACACCTTCTAATAGAGTGATGATGAAAATTTTCTTCCTCATCATATGCTCAGAAAGATAACAATGGCCATGAGGGCGATTTGAGCTAGCAGAACAACATTAAACTGTGAATCTAAATGTAATAATCCGATCAGAAAGCATGCACAGCCCATGTGCATCAGAGAGTCAGGACGGTTTGATGGATAAGTTGAACCATCTGCAATACCCCAATTTACTGAAAGCGCCGCTATACATTCCCCTTCCTATCCATAATTCACAAATGACACATTTCTGTACAGTTTTTACATTTTCCAGCCTGGAATGTCCAGTTTAAAAAATCATCAGGCAGAGTTGGAACAGGACAGGAGGAAGGTTAAGACCAAACTAAAGACCTCTTTCCAGATTAAACCTCACCTACGCAGCTACATCTCTCTCTCTCTCCTTAATTTTCACCCAGTTTGAGATGGGCAAACTCATTGGCCAGCTGCAGAGCCTCCTGTATGCAATGTGTGTTTCTACCCGTGGCCTGGG